TGAAGCCGTCGTGCGGCGGTGCTCCTGGAAGTCCTGCTCTGGTCACAGGTTCTGACCCGTCAGCCTGAGTGAAGAGTGACGATTGTGTAGTAAAGAAAACTGGTGCCTAACCATCACGCCATGAGTGGACAAGATGGTTTCCCTCAGACATCTCAGGACGTTTACGCTCCACGACCACGTCACAAATCAACGGACGTCCTCCAGACCTTTGGCTGGTTCCGCTGTTAGACTACCTTCCTCTCTGAGTTGTTTCTCTGCTCCGGTTTCATGTAGGAATGCGCATCAAATAAAACCTCCCTAACTCAGGTCCAGATGTTGTTTGGTGGCACCATGTACGTTCCCTGAGGTACCATGAAGTTCTGGATGGGTTCGGGTCACACAGAAGCTTCAGTTCCACCATCAGCAGAAACTTCTGCACATATTTTTCTTTAGAACTAAAAGCTGCTGTCATGTTTATCTTGTTTTTTAATATTTTATGTTTGGTTTTTACAAGTTTTATCCTGTTTTTCCATTTTTTTTTTGCTGTTTCTTGTCCTAGAACCTGCACAGCAGCTCAAGTCGATTTAAAATCAGCTCCGCATATAAACTGAATTTAAGATTTCTTAGCTTTAAATCTAGTTTTGTCTTCCTGCAGAATTATCCTTTGCGTTCGCAGGTTTTTTGTTTGAATTGAAATGCAGGAGTTAAATAATGACAGCACCTCTGAAAGATGTGAAGAAAGTCACACTGTTGTGTTTAAATGACGGTTTAACCAAACAGAGTCGCCGTCTTCTTGAGCAAGAACTGCACATATGAAGTCAGCAGATCGTCCAAACTAAATGATCGCTCAGTGATGCCAGAACGCGAGAAAACCGCCGTCGTCTTTAGCTACAGCGAGAGAGCGTCGCTAAGCAGCGGTGTTCAGCAGTCTGATCGTTCTCTCACTGGTTTCCTCGTGTCCCGTGTCCTTTCAGATACGAAGAAGAGCGCCTCGGAGCTGCAGGAGGAGCAGGAGATCCTGTCGGAGATCATGAGGACGGTGGAGAAGCGAGACATGCTGGTGTCCATGCTGGAGGAGCAGCGGCTGAAGGAGAAGGCCGAGGACAAGGACCTGGAGGGCCTGGTGCTGTCGCGGGGCTACGAGTTCCACTGGGCCCCGCTGGACGACAGCTGGGGGCCCGACGGGCCGGACGCCGACACCAGCTAGACCAAGTGGTGTCTTTAATTCACCCTGAAGACGGAGCTAACGACTTCCTCCAACATGAAGCTAACAACGTCTCTGCCATTAAGCTTATTTGACCTCTGCAGTGTAATCTGTGGCGGGCCGGACCGGCGCTGACCTGAAACCGGATGATCGCCGTGCTTAACCGGTCACGCCACCGACCGCCTCGTACGTTTTTGCACACCTCCTCAACCAAACCTCCTGCCGAGTGCAGCAGGCCGGCTGACGCTGCGACGCTGTAACGCTTCACCGGAGAACAGGCGGAAAAGACTCGGTTTGGAATTTGTGGAATGAATCCAGAAATGTGCTTCTTGTGAATCTCTGTTTGTCACTTTGTGCGACTGCAAACATGTTTTATGTGGTTTCACTTTGTGCTGGAACAATAATAATTAAAATACGACCGCGTTTAGACCCAGACACGAGCGAACACGTGAAACCAGAACCGTCTGCCAAGAGGCTGCAGGTTTCAGCGTTTCCTTCCTCTTCAGGTGTGTTGCATACCTGAGAGCTGAGCCGTGACCTTCCAGCACCTCCTACTACTGCCAGATAACCTGCGATGTGTTTCTGTAAAGGGCTGAGAGTCTAAACGCCCTCATGACAACATCAACAATGTGTTTACAGGAGTTTTTATCCCGGGACAAGTCACCAGGCGACTCCTTTGTTCCCTTCCTGGGCTTCAAATGTCGGCATGTGAATGAAAAATATTCTAAGTGATGTTGTGATGATTTAAAAAGACTAAACTGTGTGTGTGTGTGTGTTGTGGTTTCGTGCTGCTTTAAGTCTTTTAAATGGAAAAGAATCTTAAATAAAACTTAACTTCAGCTTTTGAATACTGTCATAATGGCTGCTTGGTTTTCTGTGTGAGTGTTGGCGGTGGTGTTATTCAGCTCAGTTTGATTTATCACAACATCTGTCGTCTCACAGCGTTGAACACAGAACGCTGCAGACCGTACGGATCTTAAACCGACAACCTGGAGCTGGTTGGCCTCGGATTCACTACGAGCGAGCGGTCGGCAACGGTGGGAAGGAACCGAAACAAGAAAACAACCACCCTGGATGAAGAGTCTCTCCATGTGAGCTGCTGGAGCTGGAAACTCCTTCAGAGGAGTCAGAGGAGTCTCGGTGGCCTCCTCGCTGCTCTCCTTCTAGGAACTCCTTCAGTTTACAGTTTCTGATCCATTTCTGTCCCAAATCCCAAAATTACACTTTAAAAAACAAACAAAGAGTTAAACATGACTTTTTCTTTTCTGACAGTGTAGAGACACATGAATGGAAACACAATGAGACGGACAATAAAAGAATCATCTTTACCATGAAACCATCTCAGTAAACCAACCAATCACAGATGAATCTCAGACCAACCATCTCAGTCAATAAACTACAAACAAAACACACAAAACCTGCAAAACAACAGTTTAAACTTTATTTGTCATTTTTCAATCCTTAACATCCAAAATCTTTCTTTCAATCAACAGCAAATAATTAAATGTGTTGCTGATTAAAAGGTAATAAAAATGGTTTTAATTAACAATCAAATGTTGAAAACAAACAACAGAGATTCTGTCAGATTCTATATATTTGTTAATGTTTTTCTGTCATTTCACTAAATATTATCAGTACTTTGAATCTGTAAATAACAGTAAATTGTGCAGGTTTACAACATAATAGAACAGATCAAAGCATGTGTAGGAACCTCAGAACCACGTTTGTGTTCAGCAATAAAGAAAGTAGGATCGTCACAGCGGTTCTGATTAGATGTCATTTAAAAAATAGGTAAAATACACTTAAAACGTTTAAAGATTTTCACAACAAACATGTTCATGGAAACACAACGAGATGAAAAAACAAACAAAACAAAACCATCTTTTCACATCAAATCATCTGATTCCACATTATTTACTGTTTTTATGGATTATACATAAATTCTGACTTTTTCCTGTGATTTTACTGAAACCTGTTCAACAATCAATCCTTAATATTCACAA